TACTGAAGAAAGTTAATAAATTAGTTAGACAAGACCGGCCTCTTGTGAATCCATGCTGAGTATCATTAATCAGGCTATGCTTATCGAGATGGCTTCTTATAATCTCAGCTAAATTGACTCTAGTAATTTGCCTACAATTGAGGTCAGGCTTATTGGGCGTAATTTGACGGTAACGACTTGTCCCCTGTTTTAAAAATAGGAATTACATTCGCCATCTTCCACATATCAACACTACACCTGTTTGAAGAGATAAATTAAAAATATTAGTTAATGGTTCACAGACTTCCATTTTGCATTCCTTAAGAACCCTTGAAAAAACCTCATCAGGACCCGGTGACTTATTTTGCTTCAGTCGGTCTATCTGCTTCACAACCATTTCACTAGTGACTGTGATGTTACATAATTTATCTTCTTCTGATCCACTATAAAAATTAATTACCGGAATATTATTAGTGTCTTCCTGTGTAAAAACCGAGAGAAAATAATTATTTAAAATCGAGCACATTTCATCTCTTTGTCAGTAAGATGCCCATAGTTATTTTTAAGGGGACCTATCTTATCTCTGACTTTGTTCTATATACCTGGAAAAAACTTTTTGGGTTAGTTTTAGAATCCCTAGCAACTTTAATTTCATAGTCCCTTTTAGCTTTTCTTATCCCCTTTTTAATGTCCCTCTTAATGTCAATATACTGATTCATAAGATGACCCTCGCCTCTTTTGATACGCCTATAAATTCCTTTCTTATGCCCTAGTAGATATTTCAGCCTATTATTCATCCATTTTGGGTCATTTCTATTTGATCTAATTTCCTTATAAGGGATAAACGTTCTTTGAGCAGCATGTATTGTGTTCAGAAAACTGTCATATTGATAGCTCTCTTCGTTACCCCCAGTCAACAGATGATAAGTGTTCTCTAAGCCCATCGTAATCTGCTAAGCGAAAATCTGGGACTGTTACTGAGTTATCCCTACTATCATACTTCCATTCAATTCTAAATGTAATTGATTTGTTGGTCGCTAGCACCCATTCCTCTGAAACTTCTAAATTATTAACAAGGATTCATTGTTTGCCAGAACTAAGTCAAGCAGGTTATTTCCCCTTGTAGGTTCTGTCACAAACTGCTTCAAAAAAACATCCTGAACTACTTCTAAGAAATCGTATGATTCTAAATTCCCAGTCAAGAAATTCCAATCAATATGACTAAAGTTAAAGTCTCCTAGAATTACTACATTATCGTGCCTTGTGCCCTAACAATTTCCTCCATAGTAGTCTCCCTTGTCCCTATCTAAATTTGGGGGACGGTATATCACACCTAAAATTAATTTTTCATGCCCCTCTGAAAATTCTATCCAAACAGACTCTGTATGTGTTTACTTCAGACTTAATACCCTTTTTATGCAACGTTCAAGCGATCTCGGACATACAATGCCACCCCACCCCCCTTCCCGATCTAATCCATGGGTGGATTAGATTTTGCCACCGAAGTGACGGGGAAGCGCTGGACCAAAACTGAGCAGCATAATCTAAATGAGGCCTCACTAGTGATGTATAGAGCTGTAAAATAACTTTTGGACTTCTGTTACTTATACTTCTCGAGATAAATCCAAGTAATCTGTTGGCCTTGTAGCCAAGACAAGTGTGCGCAACAAGGCCAACAGATTACTTGGATTTATCTCAAGAAGTATAAGTAACAGAAGTCCAAAAGTTATTTTACAGCTCTATACATCACTAGTGAGGCCTCATTAGATTATGCTGCTCAGTTTTGGTCCCCTTACTACAGGATGGACATAGACTCATTAGAGAACATACAGAGAAGAATGACTAAAATGATTTACTGTGTAAGGAACCTCCCGTATGAAGATAGACTTAAAGCCTTAAATCTCCACTCTCTGGAGAGGCGTAGAATGAGGGGAGATATCATTGAAGTGTATAAGTGGATGACGGGCATAAACAAGGGAGACATTAATAAAGTACTGAGGGTGTCGAACCAGGTAAGAACCAGGAATAATGGATTTAAGTTGGATAAATTTAGATTTAGAAAGGACATAGGTAAGTACTGGTTTTCTAACAGAGTTGTAGATGCGTGGAACAATCTTCCCAGTGGGGTGATAGAGGCTAGGACCTTGGGTAGCTTTAAGAAGAGACTGGACAAATATATGAGTGGGAGGGGCTGAGTTTGATTGGTGTTAAGGGGTACGGGAGTTATTTCTTGAGTAGCTTTAGGTAGATGTCGTTTTGATAAGGACCTGCCTCGTATGGGCCAGTAGGCCTTCTGCAGTGTTCCTACATTCTTATGTTCTTATGTAACCCGTAGGGTTATACAGCGCCTGTGCGGGAGGGGGGGGGGTGGAAGGTATTTAGGCTTAGAATTCAGGGAACCGGAGCACAGGTCAAATTCCCAAGATCAGGATGCCACCCACACCAGCCCACTAACACCCAGGTACCCATTTTACTTATGAGGAACAGGCAACAGGTGTAAAGAAACACACCCAATGTTTCTATCCTCGCCGGGAATCGAACCAGGACACTTATCGTGTGAAGAGAGCTTTAGCCACCAGGCCACGGGGCACTGTAAGTGCATATTTTATATATGTAGGCTCAAACTCATTATGCACTCCATACCCATCCTGTGGGTGGTAGTCAAAAGATTACAAAGGTACATAACGGCTCCAGGGACTGGGCCCTGAAGTTTTGATAGTTGAACAAGTTACAAAGGTAATGAGAGGGGCGCAGGAATTGATCACCACACGACAGTTTTTTGTGTGGTGATTTAAGGTGATTAGTCACAGTAGATCCCCAAGCTTGGAGATGTGTGCCATAATATTATGTTACATTAGTGGCATCTGTGTCCATTTACCGAACATTTCTTCTTGGTTTTAAGGGTCGCGACAGCTTGTGACCTGACCACCAGATCAAATTAACATTCAAATAAGATAAGATAAGATTTCGTTCGGATTTTTAACCCCGGAGGGTTAGCCACCCAGGATAACCCAAGAAAGTCAGTGCGTCATCGAGGACTGTCTAAGTTATTTCCATTGTGGTCCTTAATCTTGTCCCCCAGGATGCCACCCACACCAGTCGACTAACACCCAGGTACCTATTTGCTGCTAGGTGAACAGGACAACAGGTGTAAGGAAACGTGTCGAAATGTTTCCACCCGCCGGGAATCGAACCCGGGCCCTCCGTGTGTGAAGCGGGAGCTTTAGCCACCAGGCCACCGGGCCTGGTGGAAACACTACAGTTTACATGTAATAAGATACTGGTAGGCACAAAAGGGAACCACTGGTATGCAATGGATTTCGAGCTAATTAAAATTGAATAAAGTCGCTAACAAACCATACCATATGTAAAGTAAAAGGACACAAGTGCAACTAATGTGACATTTATTGTGGCAACGTTTCGCTCTCCAGGAGCTTTATCAAGACATCAAGGCTTGATAAAGCTCCTGGAGAGCGAAACGTTGCCACAATAAATGTCACATTAGTTGCACTTGTGTCCTTTTACTTTACATATTGTCGGTAATTCTACCAACTTTATTACAAACCATACCATAACTGGCCTAGTGGCTATGGCAATATAAACACAAATGCAGTATAATGTGATCCTTTATTGACTACGTTTCGCCCACACAGTGGGCTTTTTCAAGTCACAAACAGAACTACCTGGGGTGGAAGGAACTCGCGTTCCTTCCACCCCAGGTAGTTCTGTTTGTGACTTGAAAAAGCCCACTGTGTGGGCGAAACGTAGTCAATAAAGGATCACATTATACTGCATTTGTGTTTATATTGCCATTGTGTCGGTATTTTATACCATTTATTTCCATCGCCTAGTGGCTATCGTGACGGTCTGGAGTTTTGAGACTCTGATCGCGAGTTCTAACCCCGTCCGTGGTATGGTTTGAGCCCATCACACATTGGATTACTCCATGATAAAGTTGTGCACCTGTACCTAAATAAATTTACTAAGAATTAAGACTGGTGATAATTATTAACCTATATCTTGCATGGGGCAGTAAAGGTAGTCCATGCTGTCTACCAGATCCATCCATATTTCTACCACTTCTATCAAAACTAAGCACTAAACCCACATGATATATCAAATACCCAAGCCCAACATCAAGGAGACTGAACATTAAAATGGTATAAAATACCGACAGGTTGTTAGGTAAGACACATATGCAACAGTTAGGTATCTTTATTTCGAAACGTTTCGCCTACACAGTAGGCTTCTTCAGTCGAGTACAGAAAAGTTGATAGAAGCAGAAGATACTTGAAGACGATGTAATCAGTCCATCACCCTTAAAGTTTTGAGGTGGTCAGTCCCTCAGTCTGGAGAAGAGCATTGTTCCGTTGTCTGAAACAATATGAAGTTATGGGGCCTTATATAGTGCCAGGAGGTGAGACGTAGGTTGCTTTGGGAGGGCAGGTCCCTCTCAAACCCAGCCGTTCTCACTTCATATTGTTTCAGACAACGGAACAATGCTCTTCTCCAGACTGAGGGACTGACCACCTCAAAACTTTAAGGGTGATGGACTGATTACATCGTCTTCAAGTATCTTCTGCTTCTATCAACTTTTCTGTACTCGACTGAAGAAGCCTACTGTGTAGGCGAAACGTTTCGAAATAAAGATACCTAACTGTTGCATATGTGTCTTACCTAACAATCAAGGAGACTGTTTTCAACACGAGTCCATGGACATTGGTCATTAGAATTACGAATATGTGGCAAACGAGTGTGTTTGGGCTAGTGTCCAGGGTGCTTTAAATGGCAAAGTCCAAGCCACGTTAACACAGTAACAGGATCGTGTTAGTCCCTTAGTAATTACTAAGTGACAACCATCACCCCTACCCATCACCCTCCCACCAGTAACAACTAACTACTCACCCCCCAAACCCCTCCACAATTAGCCAACCCCCAACCCTTCCCCTAACGACCTCCCCCCTTCCCCACAAACCACTGACGTCATGACCCTCCCCCCCAGGTCAGTGACGCCATTTAACTGTGGAGGTCAAGAATAGTGGCGCCACTAGTCATTCCTTCGCCAGCTACCACACCACCAACACCTCCAGCTCCATCAACCTGAGGTAATGTAAAAGCTTTGATTACTTACATTTAGTTGTAATTTTTGACCATTTTTGCTTACTGCAGTTCACAATTAATTTACTAATGTCCATACATTTGTTTTTGCAGACATTGTTCTGGCGTGTGGCTGCTGTTGGAGACGCTGAAGATGCAGCTGCCCTCACCATGGACTTCACCACGTGCCAGCTGCCCTCACCATGGACGTCACCACGCACCAGCTGCCCTCACCATGGACGTCACCACGCACCAGCTGCCCTCACCATGGACGTCACCACGTGCCAGCTGCCCTCACCATGGACGTCACCACGTGCCAGCTGCCCTCACCATGGACGTCACCACGCACCAGCTGCCCTCACCATGGACGTCACCACGTGCCAGCTGCCCTCACCATGGACGTCACCACGTGCCAGCTGCCCTCACCATGGACGTCACCACGCACCAGCTGCCCTCACCATGGACGTCACCACGTGCCAGCTGCCCTCACCATGGACGTCACCACGTGCCAGCTGCCTACAACATATCACATAGATTTAATAAAGCATAAAAATTGAATAAATACATAATGTTAAAGCGTGTTTCTCTATCACAGCAAAGAAATGTTCAAGGAACACAAATCAAATATATTACTTTCACACAAGCCTCAACTGCTGTATTTGTCAGCAGGAGACAACATTCACACAGTTTGGGAGCTACAAGCCTCAACTGCTGTATTTGTCAGCAGGAGACAACATTCACACAGTTTGGGAGCTTTAAGCTCGGGGGAAAAAAAAAAATATATACCTACCCCAACCCTACTAACAGCAGCAGTAATGAGACGAACAGCCTCAATACTGCCATTATTAGTAGTTTGAGGTATGATACACTTGAAAATTTCGCTTTCTGACAACACAAAACACCAGGTCGTGAAGTGTTGGCCAGTGCTAACTGGCGAGTGGGTACCACTAACAGCTTCTCAGGCGATCCTAGCACTTAAGCAAGACCCGACCCCATCTTGTCACGTCACAAGGCTTCTACTGCCTTTATCCTCAAACTTAAAATCCGAGGAAAAAACCTGTAAAAGAAGGTTTAAAACATTAGCCGAACCTACTCCTAGTATCCCATGTAAAACCTCGTCTCGCCGAAAAATCCCGTTTACAGTAAACTTCTATTACCGAGTCAAACCTAATTGCCTTTCAACTTGTCCCGCGAGTTTACCGCTTCCGCTCCCCCCCCCTCCAAACTTTTATATTAGTGCACATTTGGGCAAATTTTTCATTACCCGTAGTGGTTATTCACAGCTTGGGAAATGTTAGGCAATCAGGTTAGACCCCAGGGAAGGGGAGGGTACTTGCAATTGCTAGTATCAAGATACCTTCACTGGTACAAAGACACCTCTTAAAGGGCATCCAAATGCAACTTAATCCTAGCTACCTTTAATATTAACATTGTATTTCACCTACACTTCCAAGTCCCTCATAGCACACTAGGTTAACCAACACTACGGGGATCTAACCAGTTGGAGACCTGCTGTATACCAGTCTAACATACTGCTATGTTATACACAAATAACCTGCACATAGAACAGAGGAGCTTACGACGACGTTTCGGTCCGACTTGGACGATTTACAAGTCGGACCGAAACGTTGCCCTAAGCTCCTCTCTTCTATGTGGGGGTTATTCGTTTATTGTTCCAGTTACGTTGTGCCTTTTTTTGTTATACTGCTATGATAACCTGAATTCACAACCTACCTTGTCTGCCATTCTAGGCACTATTTGAGGGCCACCAAGTTCAAGCCTCCACACATACTACCTCTATTTTCTGGGTTTCTAACCCCATTCTCACTAATGCCAGTCTGTCACCCCCTAACTATACTCATCAGCGTCAGATGTTAGTGAATCGTTTCTACCAACTAACACTTCAGATCACAGAAGTTTTCACTCATTAAAGTGCAATTCTGGACGCTAATACTTTTATATTCATAGGAACCTGAACGTCGCTTAAATTTTCCATAATAATGAAACTGTGTAAACTTAATGAGTCAATATTTAAGTTTGGACTTTGACCAAAGGCATAAAAAACGTAGAACACCCACCACAACCACTACCCAAAGCCTGGAACCCACCAAAATCCCCACGGAAACCATGTACAATAACAGACTGCATACAGCTACTGAAGGTCGTTGGTGGGTTCCCAGGCCTACAGTTCTACGTAATCTATGCCTTCAGGGGAGATTACTCTCCCCTGCTATATGCATTCATTATGCATATAGCAGATTCTCCAGTTATGTACCTTATGTATGGTACTTAACTCTACCTAAATCTAGAAGTTATTTTTGATAGTGGAAACTAGTTTCAAACTTATTACAAGTGATGTGTGAATGATGAATATTTTTTTTAGTCACCCCTGCCCCTGTGGGAGACGACCAGTGTTAATTACTCAGGATGCGACCCTTGAAGGCCATAAACCATACCACGGGCGGGATTGAACCTGTGGTCAGAGAGTTTCAAAACTCCAGACCGTCGCGTTAGCCACTGGACCAGCTAGCCACAATAAGATTCGTCCAACTAGGTATATTTCTACACCATAGGAAGGTTAGCATAGGCACCACTGTGACCACAAATGCAAGTTTGCAGTTTGACCAAAGGCATAAAAAACGTAGAACACCCACCACAACCACTACCCAAAGCCTGGAACCCACCAAAATCCCCACGGAAACCATGTACAATAACAGACTGCATACAGCTACTGAAGGTCGTTGGTGGGTTCCCAGGCCTACAGTTCTACGTAATCTATGCCTTCAGGGGAGATTACTCTCCCCTGCTATATGCATTCATTATGCATATAGCAGATTCTCCAATTATGTACCTTACGTATGGTACTTAACTCTACTTAAATCTAGAAGTTATTTTTGATAGTGGAAACTGAGCTAATTTCAGACTTACAAGTGATGTGTGAATGATGGTGATTTTTTTTTAGTTACCCTGCCTGTGGGAGACGACCAGCGTGTTAATTACCCAGGATGCGACCCATACCAGTAGGCTAACACCTCTTTTGATAGCTGAGCAAGTTACAAAGGTAATGAACTTACCTTTGTAAATTGTGAGTTCATTACCTTTGTACCTAGTTCAGCTATCAAAACGTTGGAGTCCAGTCCCTGGACCAATTATGTACCCCTAATTTTTTGACTACCGCCCACAGGATAGGTATGGGGTGCATAATAAAGATATTAAACTAACTAACTGTACCTATTTACTGCTAGGTGAACTGTGCCAATAGATACAAAGGAACATGTCCACTTGTGTCCGGGATCAACTCCTGGTCGTTCGGTTGACACCACTACCAAATAAGCCATGGTACACCACTCATGCATTTCATCTCTGCTTCCTACAATCTTGCAAGATGGTAGGGGACTTAATAAAGATAATTAACTGAAACTAACTTCCTACAGTCTAGTCAACCTTCATTCCTAACCTTTATAAACTATTTCTCCAAGACATTCCTTATTTTATTTCCTGGACAGAGATGAAATCTCTGGCCAGGATATGAGTTCTATACTCTCCCCGCCATCCTCCCATCTTATACAATCACTATCTGCTTCAATAACCCAACTTTAGTCGACTAATAACCTGGAAATACCGTGAAAGTGGGCCCCGCCCACCTCTGACGACGTCTCCAGCTGCTGCATCTCCACATAACTTCACTAAATGTCACAAGTCAGATCATTTACTACCGTAGTTCTCCTCAGACTGGTCAAAGGTGCTGTGTTGATCACTATAATGTTACAATAGACACAGCCGGGTACAGCACTTCACAATAACCAAACCTGAAACAAAAAATTGCATTAATAATAAACATTATTCATAGACAAAAATTATGTAATATAAACTAGTAACATTACTGCCAGAGTGATGTGGTCATTAATGTTTAACTTATAACTGTGATCTCCTCTAAGGAACTGTAAAATTAGGTTAGGTTAGATAACTGGACAAGTGGTTCCTGACGCGGGTCAGATGACCCGACGTTAGAGGTTTTGGTCATCTGACTGAGGCCTTCCGCTGGCTTACCAGTCCACACATTTAAAAATTATGGTATATGACAGTAAAGCTACCATTACTTTCTTTAATATTTCTTTCACATAAACCTAACACATTTGCTTGCTTATAACTGGATCAAGTCTCAAGTTCCTTGGATCAAGAGACCTTCACTACTTTTTAATATATCCCAGAGCTACATACACCATAATGGATTATGTAACGCCTATTGTGGGAGTTGTTTGATCAGAGGAAGGGGAGTAGCTCCAGTTCCTCGCATCAAAACCCCTCCACTAAGGTCAACCTCCCCCCCCCCAGACATTAGACCCCAAAGAAAATTTAAATCTATTAAATATTAATTTAGTAAGTAAACTAGCACCCACAGGATGGGTATGAGAATCAAACTTTCTATGTTAATTTTCCCCTATAATCCACCTTGTCCAGTAGTAACAGCCTGGTTGATCAGGCCCTGATCCACCATGAGGCCTGGTCACAGACTGAGCCACGGGGGCGTTGACCCCCGAAATTCTCCCCAGGTAGACAGGGGGAAGATTTTAGTATGTTATTAGAAGACGGTGGTACTTACGTGCCCCTTATGAGGATGAGGAAGCGGTAAAGCCGGTGGGGTAGGAGGAGGAGCAACACTTCTTCCCTCTACGACAGCTGAAGCTCAACTGAACTTTAGTGACCTTGAGGTTGGTCACTGTCCTGACCTTCACTATAACACCATCACTGATAACCTGACTAACTCTGACTACCACCACTAGATGGCATTGTAACACCGTCACTATACTATTCATGGTGAAGTGCTCAACCCGTACGGGGTGATGCACCACCTGGGAGGATAAGCTCACGCCCAAGTGGTATAGATCACACTTCTTGGATCAAGATCCCCTAACCACCAGCTTCAAGGAACCTCTCGAGGCCACCAATCTCACCACCAGAGGCTCTGATCTCCACTAGTTTCCCATTAATACTCTACATAGTGCTAAAACCGTACTGGTCATAACAAATTGGCCTATGGGTCGTACTCATTTTTCATCATGTACAGTGTTATATTCATGGGGGAGTTAACCCAGTGAGAATAGGCCTATTTATGGCTGTTTTTGCTGGCTTATGGGTCAGTATTACATTCATGGGGGAGACTTAAATAATGAGTAAGATGGGTGCAGATAAAAAGTATAGAGGCAGCTTGGCTTTTCCAGACAGTGCAGTTTGACCCTTGAGAGTTTAGCACTTACTTTTGATTGTAATAATAATAAATGGGTCTCCATGGAAGGTTTTAAGCCAGTAGAAAAAGGCATAAACCTATCCTTACTGGTTTAATCTTAGGTCAACGACAAGCATTTTCTGGATAATGCTTGCATACGAAATTTTTACTTGCTTCCTAGGAAAACCCATGGCATAATTTAGTTAGGCTAACCTATGGAGGCATTTAGTCTGTGAAACCTTTCTCTCAGGAATCTGTGTACACCTTTGGTAGTGTTTATTAGAGTTCTCTGAACCCCTCTATCTTATGATCCTGGCTGTGCCCCTGGTGTGGGTCATAGAGCCCTGTGAAGCCCCGTACCAGGATCCCAGTTATGCCACTGGTAGAGGTCATAGATCCTTGTGAAGCCCCCCCTACCAGCATCCCAGCAATGCCACTGGTAGGGGTCATAGACCCCTGTGAAGTACCCTATCAAGATCCCAGCTATGCCACTGGTAGGGGTCGTAGACCCCTGTGAAGTACCCTATCAAGATCCCAGCTATGCCACTGGTAGGGGTCATAGACCCCTGTGAAGCCACCCTACCAGGATCCCAACTGTCACTGGTAGGGGTCATAGACCCCTGTGAAGGCCCCCTACCAGGATTCCAGCTATGCCACTGGTAGGGGTCATAGATCCCTGTGAGGTCCCCTACCAAGATCCCAGCTATACCACTGGTAGGGATCATAGACCCCTGTGAAGCCACCCTACAAGGATCCCAGCTGTCACTGGTAGGGTTCATAGACCCCTGTGAAGTCCCCTACCAACATCCCAGCTATGTCACTGGAAGGGGTCATAGACCCCTGTGAAGTCCCCTACCTAAATCCCAGCTATGCACTGGCAGGGGGTCATGGGTTATACAATGCCTCGTAGAATGGAAAGCATTTAAGGTCAATTCAAGGAATTGAATGATAGGTCCAATTCCTTAGACCAAGAGCCCCTCACCAGCATCAAAGAACCTCCCTTGAGGAAGGGGGATAATTGGCATATTAAAATCAAAACTGTGCACTTTTATTATTATTACAATCAAGGGGGAAGCGCTAAACCCGGAGGATTATACAGCGCCTGGGGGGGGGGATGTGGAAGGCATTCAGGCTTAATTTGGGGAACTGGAGCACAGATCCAATTCCCTAAATCAAGAGCCCCTCACCAGCATCAAAGAACCTCCCTTGAGGAAGGGGGATAATTGGCATATTAAAATCAAAACTGTGCACTAAACCCACAAAGGTCATATAGCAGAAAAGTGGCACAGCATCCCTAAGGACTGGTTTTTAGTCAATGAATTTTTATTAATCAGGAGAAAATGCTAAACCCATAGGAGGTCATATAGCACCTTATTTCTTGGATTAAGAGCCCTTTAGCAGTATCAAGGAACCATCCTTCAAGATAATGATTTTATGTGGTAAACCCATATGGGTTGTGCACCACTGCCCAGCCTTCAAAAGTTCCTGCACATTAAACCTTTTTTTTTTTTTAATTTGGACACATAAGTAGTATATTAGTACACTATTACATTCATGGGGGAGCACTAAACCCACTGGGGCAGTGGCGGCTCGTATCACCAGTAATACCTATACTTTCGTACCGCATCAAACTTTTATTTTTAATCATTTTTTATCTCGTTTCAACATACAACAGATTTTTCCTGTAATATATTTGTCAGTTGCAAATTATTTTAGTGTAAGGTTGATGAAGTCATACGTCTGGCAGTGAGCATCTGAGGGAACTGCAGCTCCAGTGGACGAACCGCCACTGCACTGGGATCAGTGACTCAAGGAATGGAAGACTTGATTCAAGGTATTGGATTATTATTTTATTATAATTGCAACTGGAGTATACCTGGAGAGGGTTTCAGGGGTCAACATCCCCACAGACCAGTCTGTGACCAAACCTTGTGGTGGACCAGGACCTGATCAACCAGGCTGTTACTGCTGGCTGCACACAAACCGATGTAGGAACCACAGCCTGGCCTGACTTTAAACTCATCAAGGTACTGGAGAATTGGTCCAATTCCTTAGATCAAGAGCCCCTCACCAACATCAAATTGTTACAATCAAAACTAAGCACTAAACCCACAAGGGTCACCAACAACAAAGAACCTTCTTTAAGGGTCGCTGCTTCACTATCCTGTAAGATAATCACACAGTGGGAACAAACGTTATGTCTTCCTGTTACATTACTCTAGCAAGCAGGATATTACTTCAAGGTGAGATTTTAGTTAGGTAACAGTTCCATCCAGCAGTAACAGCCTAGTTGAGCTGGCTCTGATCTACCTGGTCACAGACTGGGCTGTGGGGGCACTGACCCCTGCAACCCTCTCCAGGTATACTCCATAATAAAGCACTTAAAAATACAGTAAACAATCAATGAGGGATTATCAAAGTTCATACATAAGAAGACAAGAAAACCTTATCAGTACTTTCACTGACCATAGCAAATCATTCCAATAAAACACTTTATTGAAAAAAAACAAGATTTTTTTTTTTTTCAACAAGTCGGTCGTCTCCCACCGAGGCAGGGTGACCCAAAAAAGAAAGAAAATCCCCAAAAAGAAAATACTTTCATCATCATTCAACACTTTCACCACACTCACACATTATCACTGCTTTTGCAGAGGTGCTCAGAATACAACAGTTTAGAAGTATATACGTATGAAGATACACAACATATCCCTCCAAACTGCCAATATTTAATGATATTTAATGAAATTATTTGTGATGGGTAGTGACAATACTAATGATGCCTTTTTATATACAGTGGAACCTCAAAAATCGAACTGCTCCCAACACAACCAATTATGTAAGTGTATTTTTGTAAGTGCTTTTATAAGTGTATTTTTGAGGGTCTGAAATGGATCAATCTAATTTACATTATTCCTGATGGGAATAAATTCATTCGGTAAAGGCACTCGAACAGCCTTCTGGACCGAAAAAAGTTCGATATTTGAGGTTCCACTGTATATAAACAATTATATTTCACACCGATTTCTTCCTATAAGATTAACAGGTCGCGTGGCTCAAGCGGTAGAGCGCTGGACCTGTTAATCCCGTGACCCCAGTTTGAGCCTCCCATCCATCTTACCATAATAATTCTCGTTTGACAGGATGGGCTTAATTAGGTTCAACTCATCTGAGGTACCTGGGCAATATGACAAAGAAATAAATCTTCTAATAATGTTTATTTTTTTTTATAATACAGGAAAAGATGTGAATCCAAAAATTTATCTTGGGTTATTTATTTTTACCGTTAATATTATTTATATTTTCCATCTAAACATTTTGGTTCATGTTGGTCCTTTGTTTTTTACCAATTCTTTCTGCACTGCTGACAAAATCTCTGAAAATACAAAGGACAATGAATTCGTTATTATATAAAATGAAAAATTAATGGTAATGATGATAGCTATGAGATGATAATGATTTGGGACCTCCTGAACTGTGTATAATACAGTCTCTCCTCACTCAATGACGGAGTTCCGTTCCTAAGACCACGTCGTTAAACAAATTCATTGCTAAGTGAGGAGCATACTATAATGGTAGTGGGTTTGTGTCAACCATCTTTCATATTGTTTAATGTCACCTTTACACCAATTATAACATTTCTGGTATATTTTTAAATGTTTATACAGTAGTGTACTGTATACTGAAATAAACAGAATAAAGGAAATCAGCTCTAATATACGTACATTATTTAGGCATCGGTAAACGAGTACATCACTAAGTGAGGAGAGGCTGTAATGATATTATACACAATACATAAGATTCTCAACATGCTTGTAAACCAAGGACTTACTGTATACAGGAGGACCCCACATATATACCACTACTTTCACTGTTCCATGTTTTCACTGGCTTTCAATTAAACCATTGTTCCACCTGGTGATACCGGTGGATGGAACATAATGAACAATGGGTCGATTTGAATCCAATGAAAATGTGGGACGCAGAAAAGAAGGTGCTGTATATACAGGGTCCCCCTGTAATCAGTGTAAACTTCAACACAGTACAATTAAGAAGTTCTTTCTTCTTTCAACGTACCAGCCGTATCCCACCGAGGCAGGGTGGCCCAAAAGGAAAAATGAAAGTTTCTCCTTTCAAATTTAGTAATATATACAGGAGAAGGGGTTACTAACTGCTTGCTCCCGGCATTTCAGTCGCCTCTTACGACACGCATGGCTTACAGAGGAAGAATTCTGTTCCACTTCCCCATGGAGATAAAAGGAAATAAACAAGAACAAGAACTAGAAAGAAAATAGAAGAAAACCCAGAGGGGTATGTACTATACATATGCTTGTACATGTATGTGTAGTGTGACCTAAGTGTAAGTAGAAGTAGCAAGATGTACCTGAAATCTTGCATGTTTATGAGACAGAAAAAAGACACCAGCAATCCTACCATCATGTAAAACAATTACAGGCTTCCGTTTTACACTCACTTGGCAGGACGGTAGTACCTCCCTGGGCAGTTGCTGTCTACCAACCTACTACATAGAGTTAAGAAGTTATTATTAATAAAATGCTGGAAACAATAGGCAAGTAACCCCTTTTTCTGTGCTAGATAGTAAATTAAAAAAATAACAGAGCCAAGTAGTTTGAGTGTGTGTAGATGGAGCAATAAAGAGCTGATTAAAATGTTATGGCTAAAAAAAACATCTGGATATCCTAGCTTTGAGTCAAAGTTAAAAAGAGACAGGAGAGTTTGAATAGGTGTGAGTACAGTACACATTGAAAATCTTCTGTATTGTGTATATCATTATTATATCATTATTTTGTATATCATTATTGTGCACAGTATCATTATTATACGCAATTCAGGAGGTCCCTAATGTGTTCTTAACCCTTAAACTGTCCAAACGTAGATCTACGTTTGTGCGTGTAGTGCTCCAACCTTAATTTTCTCCATAAGAAACAATGTAAAAAAAAACGTAGATCTACGTTCAGAGCGCTACGTGTGCAAACGTAGATCTATGTTTGGACAGTTTAAGGGTTAAGTTGAGGACTTACTGTAAACAAGATTAAGTCAGTGTAACTGAGAGGACAAGGATTTAAGGTGGTGGCTTTCAAGGTTTCTCTCTAAAGTTTAAGTTACTTGTAAATACTGTACTGTCATAATGTTGGTAGAATTACTGACAATATGTTAGGTAAAAGGACACAAGTGAAACTAATGTGACATTTTATTGTGGCAAAGTTCTTGGAGAGCAAAATATTTCTAGCCATGGTATTGTCAGTTTTCTTCTTCAATGTTTGTTAATTTTAACCCGTAAACGGTCCAAGTAGATCTACGTTTACATGCGTCGTGCTACAAAAGTAGATCTACGTTTCTTTTACATATTTTCAAATATAACAAAAAAAAAAGTAGATCAAAGTTTTTTTACACATTTTCAAATGTAGAAAAACAAAAAGAAGATCTAATTTTTTTACATACTGTACTTTCAAATGTTGAAAAAACGTATATATACGTTTGGACCGTTTATGGGTTAAAAGTTAATAATCACACAATATTGAGTGGGGGAGGTGTCCAGATAAAACAAATACAGTGGTACCTTGGGATATGAACAGCTCAAAAAGCGAACAATTATGTAAGTGTATTTATGTAAGTGCTTTTATGAATGTAATTTTGGGGGTATGAAACAGATTAATCTAATTTACATTATTCCTCCTGGGAACAAATTCGTTTGGTATCAGCACTCGAACTGCCTTCTGGAATGAAATAAGTTAGTATCCCAAGGTACCACTGTACATATAATCTTACCTTATAACTGCAATAAATTCAGGTGCTTTGGGTATGTTATTGTGACCGTAACCAAATTTGCCATCAAATGCAACAAACTTGAGAGAATATTCTTCTGGCAGTTGTCTCTGCTGTGCTGCAAGTTGAAGCTGCAAATCAAGAAAGAAGATAACTGTTGAACATCATCATAAATGTGTATAAATATGGGCATACCTGGTTAATATGGCACACTTGCTCCAAAGAGTTGCTAATACAATGCTTTCAATTATACAGTGGACCCCCGCATAACGATCAGCTCCCAACGCGACCAATTATGTAAGTGTATTTTTGTAAGTGCTTTTGGAGGTGTATTTTTGGGGGTCTGAAACGGACTAATCTACTTCACAATATCTCTTATGGGAACAAATTTGGTCTATAACGGCACCCAAACGGACTTCTTGATTGAAATAATATCGTTATGCGGGGGTCCACTGTATTCGTGTTTTTTATTTTTGATGCTTGAAAGCATTTTTCAACAATTTTAATTTTTTTAATTATTTCTACTTTTACGCTATTTTTTAGGCCAAGTGTTTTTTAGTCCATAGTGCAAATATGTTTTTAGGCTTTTATATGCGCTGGCAGGTGAAAAAAAAAAACTGATTCACTTCAAGGCGGAATTCGCTTTACGGCGGCAGTCTGGAACCTAATTCACCGTATTAATGAGGTACAACTGTATGTATACAAGTGCACCACATTCACTCCAATTTCCAGGCACAAATAAGTCACTAAAGATGGAATAAGACACAATCACACTAGCAGGGAATGTGAAAAAAAAAAAACATGATTTCAATCCTATTGCAAGTTAGCCTAAATAACCTTCAAAAAACAACAGAAACATGTCTAGTCATTGCTACAAACAGACCTGACCATAACAAACAAGTACACTCAACACTACAAACAGACCTGACTACAATGAACAAGTACAAGGAAGCCACTCGTGAGTCAGGAAGTGACTGTTGTGAGATTAAAATATAATGAATCTGATATGAATTGGGAGTTGCCGCAGCTGATTTTTTTACAATGACCTGGTTCTTTTGGGAAAAGTTTGAAGAAAAGTTCAATAAACTGTAGATGAATTTTGGAAGGTATGTAAAAGAAGGAAATTAAAAGTGAACATAGAAAAGAGCAGGGTAATGCAAGTAATAAAAAATCTAGGCATTGGAAGTATGGATATCAGATTAGAGGGAGGGAGTATGGAGGAAGTAAATGTGTTTAGATATTTGGGAGTGGATTTATCAGTAGATAGGTCTACTGTCATATGGGTGTGAAGCATGGGTTTTATATGTTGCAGCGAGAAGGTTGGAGGAAGTGGAGATGTATCTAAGGTCAATGTGTTACGTGAACATTATGCAGAGAATTCAGAACTTGAAGATTAGAAGAGGGTGCAGGGTTACCAAAAGTATTATTCAGATGGCAGAGGAAGGGTTGCTGAAGTAGACAGAGCAAAATAAGGTGACTAGGAAGATGTATAAATCTGTGGTGGAGGAAGGGAGGGGCAGGGGTCATCCCAGGTAGGAGTGGAGGGAGGGAGCAAGTGAGATATTGATTGCTTAGACATGCAACAGGCTTTAATGAGTGTGCAAGATAGGAGTGAGTGGAGGCAACTAGTTTCTATGATTTAATGTACTATTGGAGTGTGAGCAAGGTAATATTCATGAAGAGATTCAGGGAAACCAGTTAGTCAGCATTAAGTCCTGGAGATGTGAAGTACGGTACAGTACTTGAACTCTGAAGGATGGGTGGAGGTGTGAAATACAGTGCCTGCACTCTGAAGGATGGATGGAGGTGGGAAGTACAGTGCCTGCACTCTGAAAGATGGGTGGAGGTGTGAAATACAGTGCCTGCACTCTAAGGATGGGTGGAGGTAGGAAGTACAGTGCCTGCACTCTGAAAGATGGGTGGAGGTGTGAAATACAGTGCCTGCACTCTGAAGGATGGGTGGAGGTGGGAAGTACAGTGCCTGCACTCTGAAGGAAGGGTGGAGATGTGAAATACAGTGCCTGCACTCTGAAGGATGGCTGGAGGTGGGAAGTACAGCGCCTGCACTCTGAAGGAAGGGTGGAGATGGAATGCTTGCACTCTGAAGGAGAGGTGGTGGTGGGAAGTATAGTGCCTGCATTCTGAAAGAAATATTAATATATAAAAGTATTAATCCTAGGCAGTAGGTTGGTAGACAGCAACCGCCCAGGGAGGTACTACTGTCCTGCCAAGTGAGTGTAAAACGAAAGCCTGTAATTGTTTTATATAATGGTAGGATTGCTGATGTCCTTTTTTCTGCCTCATAAACATGTAAGATTTCAGGTACGTCTTGCTGCCTCTACTAACACTTAGGTCACACTACACATACATGTACAAGCATATATATACACACCCCTCTGGGTTTTCTTCTATTTTCTTAGTTCTTCTTCTTGTTTATTTCCTCTTATCTCCATGGGGAAGTGGATCAGAATTCTTCCTCTGTAAGCCATGTGTGTCGTAAGAGGCAACTACAATGCCGGGAGCAAAGGGCTAGTAACCCCTTCTCCTGTATACATTACTAAAACTAAAAAGAGAAATTTTGTTTTTCTTTTTGGGTCACTCTGCCTCGGTGGGATGTGGCCGGTTTGTTGAAAGAAGAGGAAAAGTATTAATTCAAGGTAAACCACAATATTGTGAGAAAAATCAAATTCTAGAATGCCGAGTCTATGCATGAGAACAAATTATATAATGGATGCAAGTGCAAGCTCTAATCCCATAGGAGTCATAGAGCACCCAGAGAATGGAAGGTAATCAGGCTTAATTCAGAGAAGAGAAAAGTAGCCTTAATTCCTTGGATCAAGAGTCCATCAGATTCTAAGATGTTCCCCTTGAAGGGAATGAAATAAGATAATAAAGTTAATAAGAAATAACTACAGGTGCTGTTTGATTAACAATGGTTCAACTTATGGTGCAAAAGCACCATTGTAAAAAGCACCATTGTAAAAAGCACCATTGTGAAGTCCATAACTTGCATTCATTTATTTACTTTTCAATGCTGATGTTTAGTTAGTTACAGTAATTATTTGTTCATTATTTAGTGATATTTATGTACTTATTCAGTGACAGTAAGTATTTATTCACTTATTTAGCATATCATATTCATATTCGACACGATATTTTTGTCTTACGATGCGTTCACTGGACTGTAACTCCATCGTAAGTCAATGGACACCTGTATATGTAAGTACCTTCTGCCCCAGTTCAATAGGTACAACATAATCATCTTGAGCGTGAAGAATGATAACTGGACTCGTAATGTGGACGATGTGTTTGTCGCTCTGGAACTCGGCACCAATGTCTTGCAGAGGATCTACGAAGGCCCAGTCAAAATATGGCAAGTGGTAAAACACCTGAGGATAAATGAGAAACATAACATTAATTGTAAATATTAAACTGTCAGTTGTATATAGATATTGCACTTTCCAATACAGCCTCTCCTCACTTAATGACGGAGTTCTGTTCCTAAGACTGCGTTGGTAAACCAATTCGTGGCTAAGTGAGGAGCATACTATAATGGTAGTGGTTTGTGTCAACCATCTTTGATATTATTTTAATGTCATCTGGCATATTTTTAAATGTTTATACAGTAGCGTACCGTACATATATTATAATAAACAGAATAGGGGAAATCAGCTCTAATATATTATATTATTTAGGTATGGATACTGGTCAGAGACCGTCGTAAGTCCGAGTTGTCGGTAAACGAGTATGTCGCTAAGCGAGGAGATGCTGTATTGAAAAGCAAATAATGAGTACAAGTTTATTCTATCAATAAATGTACAGTACTGCACAGTACAAAAAAAAAAAAAGGTTTTACAGTTTTATCGCAACATCGGAAAGTTGAAATACCATAAGTCGAACCATCGTAAAGCAAGGAGCATCTGTACCAATCATTCATTCTTCCGATGGACAGCTATTTGACATTTTGAAGATTGAGACACTTATGCAACATATGGGAATCTTTATTGAGGAAACATTTCACCACACAGTGGCTTCATCAGTCCAATACAAAGCAAAAAGGTGTAAGGAGAGGAGGAGTTTGAGGTAATCAGTCCCTCAGCCTAGAGTCGATGTGTTCAGTCCATCGATCTTGTAGAATGTGACATCTGATACTATCCAGAGATTTTCTTTGATAGGACACCTAAATAGATAACGCTAAAACATATGCAAGGTACTGGATAAACAATGATCTTTTGTGGTAAAATTAATGACTTAGATACATAAATACAACGACATTCACTTTTTTTAAAAACTTCAAACAATTTTAAGCTATTTTTGGCAACACTAAAAAAATTATAGTGTGCCTACCTGGGATAGAGGATTAAGTCTTACTTCATCTTGGAGATTGTTAAAAGGGGCTTCTAACACTAAGCCTTGTGGACACTTCTTCTCCATACACAACTCTGACACCGCGTGACATGATACACTGTGGGAGAAGGGTGTAACATGATAAAATATGATAATACAATAGTAGAGTATATCTGGAGTATACAATGGTAAGTATACCTGGAGCATACAATGGTAGAACATACATGGAATATACAATGGTAGAGAATACCTGGGGTATACAATGGTAGAGTATACCTGGAGTATACAATGGTGAGTATACCTGGAGCATACAATGGTAGAACATAGAGTATACAATGGTAGAGTATACCCAGAGTATGCAATGGTAAGAATACCTGGAGTATGCATGCAATGGTAAGTATACCTGGAGTATACCAACAGTGTGTAAATAAGACATTTTAATGCATGTTATGGCATTTAATTGTAAAGGTGTTACATCCTCCAAGGAAATTTTTCTTCGACTGACAGTCACTGGTGGATGAATCGACTTAAGTAAATTTATTCAGGTACAGGTACACATAAATACAGTTACATATATTATAAATACAGTTACATATATTATCATAGCAGCATATGTGTAGATTACCTAGGGTAACCCAAGAAAGTCAGTGAGACTTATTTCCATCAGGGACCTTAACTTCACGGTCAATGCCCGTAACCCTCAGCGCCTCTTCGCAAACATTGCGTCATGCTGAAATAATATTAAATCCTTAATCTTTACGACATATTCATCCCCAATTGTCCTCAAAGATTTGTTAAGTCATAATTAACCCGTAAACGGTCCAAACGTATATATACGTTTTTTCAACATTTGAAAGTATGTAAAAAAAGTAGATCTTCTTTTTGTTTTTCTACATTTGAAAATGTGTAAAAAAACTTTGATGAACTTTTTTTTTTTTTTTTAATTTGAAAATTTGTAAAAAAACTTTGATCAACTTTTTTTTTTTTTTTTTATATTTGAAAATTTGTAAAAAAACTTAGATCTACTTTTGTAACACTACGCATGTGAACGTAGATCTGCTGGGACCGTTTACGGGTTAAGGAAAGATCGTAGACTCCACTTTACGAAAACAGACAAAGTAAATACGATAATAATTATGGACAAGGTAGATTATAGGGGAAAAATGAACGTTATTAGAAGGCAGGGGAACTTACTATAGCTGACATCAGTGACATACTATATAGAAAACCCTTTGTTATTCAGAGCATTTCCCACAACTTAGGTTAATTTTGTCCCCAGGATGACGCCCACACCAGTCAGCTAACACCCAGGTACCTATTTACAGTGACAGCAGGTGCAAGGTAACTAATACCCAGGTACCTACTTACTGCTAGGTAAACAGTGACAGCAGGTGTAAGGTAACTAACACCCAGGTACCTACTTACTGCTAGGGGAACAGTAACAGGAGGTGTAAGGTAACTAACACCCAGGTACCTACTTACTGCTACCTACTTACTGCTAGGGGAACAGTAACAGCAGGTGTAAGGTAACTAACACCCAGGTACCCACTTACTGCTAGGTGAATTGGGACAGCAGGTGTCTTAAGGAAACATACCCCAATGTTTCCACCCATACTGGGAATCGAACCACAGACCTCAGTACGTGAGCCGAGCATGCTACCAACCAAGCCGAATTTATATTTGTTCGTTTCAACTTACCCAGTACCAAGTGAGTGACCCCAAACAAAGACTGGAGAAGTGCCAGCATTGTCAAGTAGATAATTAAAGAGAGCTTTAGTATCCATTACCAGACCATCCTCATCTGGGTCAACAGCTGAAGAATCTGCATAGCCTGCAAAAAATATAATACATGATCATTTGTATAAAAGAGACTACAAGATACAATGCATAAAATGCGTATTTACCAATAAAGAGAACTACAATATCTATCACTAAATCCTTGAATATTATCACTGGCAACTTCCTTTATGGTGTTTTCATCTTATCATTGTTATTTTTTTAACACGTCAGTTGTTTCCCACCGAGGCAGGTGACCCAAAAATAAAAGAACAAATTTTCATCATCATTCAACACTTCCACCATCACTCATACACAATCACTGTTTTTGCAGAGGTGCTCAGATACAACAGTTTAGACATCCCTCCAAACTGCCAATATCCCAAACCCCTCCTTTAAAGTGCAGGCATTGTACTTCCCACCTCCAGGACTCAAAAATAAATAACAAAAAGGCACAATACCGTGACTGGAACAATACACAAATAACCCGCACATAGATGAGAGGAGCATACGACGATGTTTTGGTCCGACTTGGACCATTTACAAAGTCACACTAACGAAAAGAAGAGCAGGATGGGTATATATAGGCAGGAGGAGGAGGAGGAGGTGGTGGTGGTGGAGGTGGTGGAGGTGGCGGAGGTGGCGGAGGCGGCGGAGGCGGCGGCGGTGGTAGTGGTAGTAGTGGTAGTAGGGGCCAGTCAAATACTAAGAAAGAAGAGCACTACAAGGGAGCTAGGTGCCCACAGAGGGTAAGAGCAAGAACACCGAGGGGGGGAGAAAACAAATAAATAAATGAAAGGAACAAATACAAAGGGCAGAAGAAAGACAACCCAAAGGAGAAAAAGGAAAGAGGAAAAGGGGAAGAGGGAGAAGAAGAAAAAGGAGGAATCAGGTTAGGTCACAAGTGTTCTGAAGTTCGGAGCATTTTACAATGTAGTGGGAGAGGAAGGCATCTGCAGAGACGAAGCCAGGACTAAGATTCATACAAGGAAAATTGTGTATTAGGAAGGATTCACCCAGATGGTGACTGTTAAAGTTGGAAGTAGGGAAGACAGTTTTAGCAGAAGACCAGTCAATAGGATGGCTGTGATCCTCTCTTCTATGTGCGGGTTATTTGTGTATCCAGGACTCAAGTCCGCTTGAATCCTTTCACACACTCCAACAGCTCATCAGGTCCCAGAAACTATTACAGGAGGACCTCCACATTTCACAATTAATATGCCATTTGCCATAATTCCAGTTTCCCTCTCTCTATTATTATTAATTTACCTTTATATATACAGCATAATTATAAAATTAACTGACAGGTGTTTGGGTGTGTGGTGATGCTGACAGGTGCTTGGGTGTATGCTGAAGTGTGGTGAGGCAGTGAGAGAGGCAGGTGATGTTGACAGGTGTCTGGGTGTGTGGTAATGCTGACAGGTGTTTGGGTGTATGGCGAGGCAGTGAGAGAAGCAGGTGGTGATGTTGACAGGTATCTGGGTGTGTGGTAATGCTGACAGGTATTGGGTGTGTGATGATGTTGACAGGTGTTTAGGTGTGTGGTGAAGTGTGGTAAGACAGTGATAGAGGCAGATGGTGATGTTGACAGGTGTCTGAGTGTGTGGTGGAGTGTTGTGAGCCAATGAGGCAGGCAGGTGGGTATGTTGACAGGTGTTTGAGTGTGTGGTGGAGTGTGGTGAGGCAGACAGGCAGCAACTGTTTCGGTGATGAAAAATAAAAAGGCACACTAACGTGACTGGAACAATACTTGGACCTGGGTGCGGTGAGAGGGAGCGGAGGTAAGAAGGCAGCCAATAATTGTGGTGATGCTGATGAATGTATGGGTAATGAGGGAGGATGGAAGGAATCAATTGTGATGATGCTATGGAATGTGTGGTGAGGAAGACAGGAAAGCAGCAATTGTGGTGATGCTGGTAGCTGTACAGTGAGAGGCAGATATTTAGTACACCACATCATACCTCTATAATCAAAAGTGATAATGTGATAATCCATTTCACGAAGTACACGATACAGTTCGATTCTATGATGTTCTCCTCTGGTTCCTTTGTTACCATGTAAGTAAAGGATGACAGGCTTACTGTCTCTCAAGCTCTGCTCATACCACAAGTCCCGCTCGGAAGATCCTATGTCGGGAGCAAACTGAACCAGAGATCCTGGCAGGATGTGCCTGGGAATAAAATTGAGAAAAAATAATTAAAACTTACATTAAGCTAAAATCTGATGACAGAACATTACAGGAGGGACAAGTTTATACAGTTCTAAATATGGTATCAGTTGTCCTTCCCTTACGCAACTGCTGTATGAAAATGGCGATAATGCAAGAGGGGTAAAACCACTGACTATAATGAACAATGGATCGATTGAAAGCCGACAAAAATGTAGAGAACCAAAAAGACGTGTTGTATACATGAAGCCTCCTGTATAATTGAAGACCTTTTTTTTTAACTAGTAAATTAATGTGTACATATAGTGGGTGTACTCACATGCAAATAACATTGATATCACATGTGTGGTTAGATAATAAAAAGTGTATGATATTCTAGGATAATATCCAGTACATTACATTACTGTATTCAGATTTATATTTCTTTTCTGCAGCACACAGTATTTCTTATGGGAAAAATTGATTCAGTTTTCATACGTTTCGGTTTTAGAATGACCTTCTGGAGCAGATTAAGTTCGAAAACCAGAGTTCCACTATAATGTAGTTAATGTAGTTAATGTAGTTAATGCAACAAAAGACTCCTAGACACAAAAGCCACTAACATGCAGTGCATTGTGATCAAATTAATTCTAATGCTTAAACACTACTTAAGAACTACACATAAATTATGTAGTTGGATTTGTTAGATGTTGGATTTTTCAATTTTTTTCAAAAAAGATTGACAGGTTGACCTAAGCACAAGGTTCATTAATATTCTAGTAAATATAATATGTAATGACACACTTTTATAAGCTGTGATCAGTTCTGCTTACATACAGTGGACCCTCGACCAACGATGGCATCGACTAATGTTAAATTCGACTAACGATACATGTTAACGCTAACATGTTGCCTCAACTAATGTTAAAAAACTCGACTAACGATAATCGTTCTCGGGTACCAATTAATATCGTTAGTCGAGGGTCCACTGTATTTTATAAATTGTACATGTAATTTTTCTTATTTTTTTTTTTAATTACCCTGTTGGTCATTTCCCACCAAGGCAGGGTAACCCCAAAAAAAAAAAAATTGCTCTCATCATCACCACTTATTCCATAAAGTATTAAAAAGGTATGCGTCTCTTTATTATTTATTTATATTTTTTATTATCACACTGGCCGATTCCCACCAAGGTAGGGTGGCCCGAAAAAGAAAAATTTTCACCATCATTCACTCCATCACTGTCTTGCCAGAAGGGTGCTTTACACTACAGTTTTTAAACTGCAACATTAACACCCCTCCTTCAGAGTGCAGGCACTGTACTTCCCATCTCCAGGACTCAAGTCCGGCCTGCCGGTTTCCCTGAACCCCTTCATAAATGTTACTTTGCTCACACTCCAACAGCACGTCAAGTATTAAAAACCATTTGTCTCCATTCACTCCTATCAAACATGCTGACGCATGCCTGCTGGAAGTCCAAGCCCCTCGCACATAAAACCTCCTTTACCCCCTCCCTCCAACCTTTCCTAGGCCGATCCCTACCCCGCCTTCCTTCCACTACAGACTGATACACTCTTGAAGTCACTCTGTTTCGCTCCATTCTCTCTACATGTCCGAACCACCTCAACAACCCTTCCTCAGCCACCTGGACAACAGTTTTGGTAATCCCGCACCTCCTCCTAACTTCCAAACTACGAATTCTCTGCATTATATTCACACCACACATTGCCCTCAGACATGACATCTCCACTGCCTCCAGCCTTTTCCTCGCTGCAACATTCATCACCCATGCTTCACACCCATATAAGAGTGTTGGTAAAACTATACTCTCATACATTCCCCTCTTTGCCTCCAAGGACAAAGTTCTTTGTCTCCACAGACTCCTAAGTGCACCACTCACCCTTTTCCCCTCATCAATTCTATGATTCACCTCATCTTTCATAGACCCATCCGCTGACACGTCCACTCCCAAATATCTGAATACATTCACCTCCTCCATACTCTCTCCCTCCAATCTGATATCCAATCTTTCATCACCTAATCTTTTTGTTATTCTCATAACCTTACTCTTTCCTGTATTCACCTTTAATTTTCTTCTTTTGCACACCCTACCAAAATTATTATCAAGAGGTCATCGTAATACAGTTAATCTGAAAACAGCCAGTTAAGAGAGTGAGTAAGTTTAATATCTGGCCTACCAAGGAGGGAAAGTATTGAAAACTTTAAAAATAATGGATATGTAACAAGTTACAGTGGTACCCCGAGTTTCGTACAAAATTCGTTCCGGAAGGCTGTTCGAGTGCCATTACTGAAAGAATTTGTTCCCATAAGGAATAATGTAAATTAGATTAGTCTATTTCAGACCCCCAAAAATACTCACAGAAGCACTTACAATAATACACTTACATAACTGTTCGAGTTGGGAGCTGTACGACACTCGGGGTGCCACTGTATCACACTGCCCTTATATGAATCTGGTTATTTGAGTGGTTTACAGTTACTCTTATGGCCTTGATAGTCTCATAATTATACTTCCTTATTTTTATAAACACACCAGTATCCTTCATGCTTCAGAAAAATCATAAAACAATACTGTCTGTAACTCATTGTTACTATCAGTAATTGTACTGTAGTCACCACAGTGCTAGTTTAAGACTAGCATTTGCTAGACTTCAGGTTCGAATCCCTCCCACTCCTTATAAAAGAATTATAACAAGCATGATCAATGCTAAAAGATGTAGATAAATCTTTACTCTCTCCATGGAGAAGTGGAGAAGAATTCTTCCTCCATAAGCCATGAGTGTCATAAGGGGCGACTAAAATGCCAGGAGAAAAGGGGCTAGTAACCCCTTTTCCTGTATAAATTACTAAATGATGGAAGCAATGTGCTAGTAACACCTTCTTCTGTATAAATTACTAAATGTAAAAAGAAAAAACACTTTCGTTTTCTCTCTTTTGGGTCGCCCTGCCTCGGAGAGAAATGGCCGGTGTTAAATAAAAAATCTTTACTCTGAGTGAGACTCATAGATACTCACCATATTCCAACTGAGACATCTTTATCAGTCGTCATATAAAAATTACGAGTTCCGAGTAGACCAACACTTTCTGGTTTGCTTAAATCTACTTGGCTGCCAACTAGAATGGAGAAAAAATGACATATATCAACATACATAAAATATATTAAGTATTTCTATTAAAGAAATTGACTTTAATAAAAATTTCAAACACTTGGGTATTAAAAAGAATATGAGAGGGCTATAATGTTCAAAACTGATACAGTGTTAAACCAAGCTATTAATATCTTGTGATGTCATACTGGTACCTAACAGCACTGGTGATGTACCAAGCTATTGCCATCTTGTGAAGTCATATTGGTACCTAATAGCACTGGTGATACACCAAACAATATGACGACATCTTTTGAAGTCATATTAGTGCCTAATAGCACTGGTGATGATGATAATGATTTCAGTAAGTATAAGAACAGCTGCAGCATATCAAAATATGCATTATATTGCTACCTTTTTCTGCATCACAAATGGAATGACAGAGAGACCTTTTGTACAGAACAAATCTTCAATTAACAGAGAATGATTATTGCATTTTGAAAATAAAGGTATTCTGTGACCTATAGCTGGGTTGGTAGCATACTCAGCTCACACATGGAGGTCCATGGTTTGATCCCCAGTGCAGGTGCAAATATTAGGATGTGTTTCCTTAAGACACCTACTGTCCATGTTCACCTAGCAGTAAAATAGGTACCTGCATGTGGTGTGGGTTGCATCATGAGGACAAAATTGACCTAATCTGCCCTAAATGATGTGCATAACCAGGGGCATTTGATATAGTATGTCAGTCTCTAAATGTTGTACATGAACTAGCAGAAATAAAAGATAGATTAAAAATAAAGCGAGATCTGCTGGGTCAGCTAATTCTGAAACAACGGATGAAGCCCATTGAACACAGAACGGTTTGTTATTGTTATGATCATATTAAAATAATCTCATGTTTAGGCAGCACAGTCACCATTCCTAGCTACCCGCTCCCTCCCATTGGTTCATAAAATTGAGGTTTTCCTTTTTTCAGGGTAGAGCGTCATCACGTTTTGATTTAATAAAGCTCTACCCAGTTCGCTGGGTATAGTGTTTCACTATCAAAATTGCCAGCAATACCGCCTCTTCATTCTAAAGAAAAAATGAAAAATTCACAGATGAAAATATACTGCAGTACCTAAGAATTACATTCTGCAAACCATGCTTGTCATGATAACGTTAAATGATGCAAAATTTAGGAACTTTTGTTAAGAAAGATGAAAAAAGTGTTGCAATTTTGGTGAGTAGTGAAAGATGAGGTAAGTTGCAATGACGTGAAATACAATGTGAAATTTAGATACCCGTGTTAAGAAGATGAAAAAGCGTTGCAATTTGGGTGAGTAGTGAAAGATGAGGTAAGTTGCAATGATGATACGAAATAATGTAAAATTTAGGTACCTGTGTTAAGAAAGATGAAAAAGCGTTGCACCCTTGGTGAGTAGTGAAAGACGAGGGGCACCACAACCCAGACGACAAAACTAGTAAATACTAGACAAGTCGCAGTTGACCTCAGCACCCTGGAATAAAAGTATTTATATAGCATTTTTCATTCTACTCAGAATGCTTAGAAATTAATAATACAAGGCCTGTAGGCCTGAAACAAGTGTACTTACAATAATCACTGTACATGCTCATTAACCCTTTGACTGTCACAAGCCCCTTTCTGAAACTTGTCATTCTATGTCGCAAAATTTTTTGAAAAAAAAAAAAAAAAAAAAAAAAATTTTCTTATGAAATGATAGAGAACCTTTTCCCAATGGTAATGACACCAAAAGTACGAAATTTGGTCAAAAACTCACGGAATTACCCTCCCGCGAAGTTAGTGGTCTCGGAGACATATACGCATCGGCGATTTTGCTGACTTTGAGCCCTGTTTTTGGCCAATTCCGTTGTTCCAGTTGACCAAACTCAGCTGTTTCTTTAGAACTCCATTTGTTTCTATCAGTTGAGTACAAGAAACCGCCCATTTACCGATCTGAACTACCCAATAAAGTGGTCAGAAATTGGCAATTTGGCCAGTTTCATGCAAATTAAAAAAGATGCCAATTTCAAAATAGGGTCCAGAATAAACAATGTAAACATTCTTGGCACTAAAATAACATATCCTCTGTTCATTAGTCACGTCTCTAGGCCCTCTTACATTACTATTGCTTTCTATTTTGATTTTTTATTCATACAAAAAATACAAAATTTACTGTTATGCAGACTACTGTATTATTGTAAAAATGGTATAAATAATATCAGTGCACTAGTGAAAGTATATTAGACTCCCCAGTTAACGTGTATTGGACGTGTGGTGTGATTTGCTTACTCCTGAACATTGGTAAAAATCAAACATTTCCGCTACTTTGAGCTCAATTTCAAGGTCGTTTTCATCGTGAAACTAATCAAAATTATCTCTATTTCTGTAATATGTTTTCCATTTTATCACATGAGACCATGAAAACAAGAATACAATGATAAATACTATACGAAAATATACCTCAAAGTCGGCGTTTTAATCCAAAAAAAACTGTCAAGTTTTTTTTCTCATTATGCACTGCGTGGTGCAGGATTTTTTTTATGTGGTGCACGCTGACCACACAGACCCATTCTCTCACATGTGAGCCTACCAGCTTTCTCCTGCTTGATTCGAAGCCGCTAGAATTATTGAGTACATATACGTCTGAAACACTGGCTCGTACAACGTATATATACGACCAAAACAGCCAAAGGGTTAATATCTATAAAATTAGGTACTTTTCAGAACATAGCAAAGAAGGAACATTGCAGATAATATTTTTTAACCAAATATTCTCATTTTAGTGAAAAAATTAAAATTTCTCAAAAAATGCTTGAAAAAGTTAAAAAAAAAAAGTGAAAATATTGCAATATATCAAGGTTAGACAAGGTTATTCATACGATATTGTAATAATAATACACATGACTCTCCATGAGGAAGCGGAACAGGATTCTTCCTCTGTAAGTCATGCATGTCATAAGAGGTGACTAAAAAAAACCATACCACGGGCGGGGATAGAACCCGCGATCAGAGAGTCTCAAAACTCCAGACCGTCGCGTTAGCCACTGGACGGTCTGGAGTTTTGAGACTCTCTGATCGCGGGTTCTATCTACGCCTGTGGAATGGTTTGTTTGCAATTGTGTCATTACGATTTCGTGAGTCAAGGTGACTAAAATGTGGGGAGCAAGGGACTGGTAACCCCTTCTGTATACTTTACTAAATTTAAAAGGAGAGACTTTCGTTTTTCTTAAATAGTGGTGGCTGATTGAGATAAAAATAGAATTATAATATATGACAAATTACAGAAGACAGATTTGTAGCAGCACAGATCTGCTTCTGTAACCATAAGTATGGTCTGTACCAGCACAGATCTACTGCTGTAGCCATAAGTATGGTCTGTAGCAGCATAGATCTACTGCTGTAGCCATAAGTATGGTCTGTAGCAGCACAGATCTACTGCTGTAACCATAAGTATGATCTGTAGTAGCACAGATCTACTGCTGTAACCATAAGTATGGTCTGTAGCAGCACAGATCTACTGCTGTAACCATAAGTATGATCGGTAGTAGCACAGATCTACTGCTGTAACCATAAGTATGGTCTGTAGCAGCACAGATCTACTGCTGTAACCATAAGTATGATCGGTAGTAGCACAGATCTACTGCTGTAACCATAAGTATGGTCTGTAGCAGCACAGATCTACTGCTGTAACCATAAGTATGATCTGTAGTAGCACAGATCTACTGCTGTAACCATAAGTATGGTCTGTAGGAAAACAGATCTGCTGTAACAACAATTAGGTACAGTATTTACATTTTTTAACACATCAGCAGTTTCCCACCAAGGCATGGTGACCCGAAAAAGAAGAAACACTTCCATCATCACCCACTCTATCACTGTCTTGCTAGAAGTGTGCTGTTACTATAGATCAAACACTGCAATGTATCTGCAATGGATTTGCATCCCAACAAATACTTCAACCCTCAACTTAATTCATGGCAAATTTTGTGCAACATCAACATTTTGAATAATGAAATTATAACTAACAAAATTCTCCGTAAGCCATGCGTGTTGTAAGAGGCGACTAAAATGCCGGGAGCAAGGGGCTAGTAACCCCTTCTCCCGTATAAATTACTAAATTTGAGAGAAACTTTCGTTTTTCTTTTTAGGGCCACCCCGCCTTGGTGGGATACGGCCGGAGTGTTGAAAGAAAGAACTAACAAAATTATAACTAACACCATACCTGTTAAACTTTCTGCGTCGTACTGGAAGAGTGTGTTGTACTCCCATTAGAGTTAATATGTTCATGGTGATTCACACCTGAAATTATTATTTTATTATTGCTTTCATAGGGTGAGTGCTAAACCCAGGAATGACTGGAAGGAAATGTTAGGTTTAATGACAGGAAGGAAATGACAGGTTTAATGATGGAAAGGAAAACTGGTTTAATGATGGGAAGGAAATACAGTGGACCCTCGACTAACCATATTAACTGGTACCCGAGAACGAATATCGTTAGTCGAGTTTTTTTAGCGTTAGTCGAGGGAAAATGTTAGCGTTAAAATGTATCGCTAGTCGAATTTAACGTTATATGATGCCATCGTTGGTCGAGGGTCCACTGTATTAGGTTCAGTTCTTTGGATCAAAAGCCCTTCATCTGTAATATGAACCTCATACTGTATGTACATATGTTGTATTTGATCAAAGGCCTAAGCAAACAATAGTGTTAACAGTCCTTTCACAATAACAATAAAATTCAATCCAGTAAGCTCTGTTATAAGGTGCCTTAATGCACGATATTTTGTAAAGGTCATTGAAAAAATATATCCGAAATTGAATGGCATATGAAAAGGCTTCCTGGTATGTGATATTCATGACTCATGAAATCATAACATGAATGCAAACGAGCCATGGAATGGGCGGAGATTGATCACATGGCAAATGAGTCCTAAAACTCAATTGCAGTGTGTCAATCCCTGCCCGTTCCGTGATATTCAATTTTCGAATAACTTTTCAATCACCAAAAACATTGCACTCTTAGAGAGACATGCAAGTTCTCCCAGCTTCTAATAACATGTTTATTTTTCCACTATACTCTACCATGTCCATAATTACTATTACATTTGCTTTGTCTGTTTGATAAGGTGAAGTCCAGGATCTTTCCTTAATTCATGGTATAACTTAAATATTTGAGGATGATTGTGTTGCAGAGGTCTGAGCTTTGCAACACTATTGTCCTCGTAAAAGGACACAAGTGCAACTAATGTGACATTTATTGTGGCAACGTTTCGCTCTCCAGGAGCTTTATCAAGCCATTACAAACAATACATGGACACAGAGGGTATATAAAGGCTCAGAGTGAGGTGCAATACTAGTGAGGTACCATTCCGATGTTCACTAGTGGTAGTAGTAGTAGTAGTAGTAGTGGTAGTGACAAAAGCAATTAATTCGTACATGAGTAAAAGGATATAAAAGCTATTACTTGGGTAACATAAAAATAGGTTGGACAAATATAAACTGGAATGAGGCAGGTTGTTTCAGTTTATATTTGTCCAACCTATTTTTATGTTACCCAAGTAATAGCTTTTATATCCTTTTACTCATGTACGAATTAATTGCTAGAGCGAAACGTTGCCACAATAAATGTCACATTAGTTGCACTTGTGTCCTTTTACTTTACATATTGTCGGTAATTCTACCAACTTTATTACACTATTGTCCTCAAAGATTTGTTAAGTTATACAATGAATTAAGTAAAGATCCTGGACTTCACCTTACAAAACAAAGCAAATGCGATAGTAATTATAGACACTGTAGATTATAGTGGAAAAATGAACATGTTATTAACAGACGGGGGTACTTATGTGCCCCTTAAACTCCATAATACACTAATAACCCACACATAGGAGAAAGAAACTTATTATTTATGGTCCAACTTGGACCATTAACTAGTCACACACCAATACATGAAGGTAAGGGAGTCAGTATATATAAAAGAGGAGTGCAGGAACAGGAGAAAGAGAGGTAGAAAAATAAAAGAAGGAAATGAAGATAGTTGTAGAAGAATGCAGGTGGTGGTGGTTGTAGTTGTTGTTGCAGCAGCAGCAGCAGCAGCAGCAGCAGCAGCAGCAGCAGCCAGCAGCAGCAGCAGCAGCAGCAGCAGCAGCAGCAGCAGCGCAGCAGCAGCAGCAGCAGCAGCAGCAGCAGCAGCAGCAGCAGCAGCAGCAGCAGCAGCAGCAGCAGCAGCAGCAGCAGCAGCAGCAGCAGCAGCAGCAGCAGCAGCAGCAGCAGCAGCAGCAGCAGCAAGCAGCAGCAGCAGCAGCAGCAGGCAGCAGCAGCAGCAGCAGCAGCAAGGCAGCAGCAGCAGCAGCAGCAGCAGCAGCAGCAGCAGCAGCAGCGCAGCAGCAGCAGCAGCAGCAGCAGCAGCAGCAGCAGCAGCAGCAGCAGCAGCAGCAGCAGCAGCAGCAGCAGCAGCAGCAGCAGCAGCAGCAGCAGCAGCAGCAGCAGCAGCAGCAGCAGCAGCAGCAGCAAGCAGCAGCAGCAGCAGCCAGCAGCAAGCAGCAGCAGCAGCAGCAGCAGCAGCAGCAGCAGCAGCAGCAGCAGCAGCACAGCAGCAGCAGCAGCAGCAGCAGCAGCAGCAGCAGCAGCAGCAGCAGCAGCAGTCAGAGCAGCAGGCAGGCCCGCAGCAGCAGCAGAGACAGCAGCAGCAGCAGCAGCCAGCAGCAGCAGCAAGCAGCAGCAGCAGCAGCAGCAAGGCAGCGCAGCAGCAGCAGCAGCAGCGCAGCACGCAGCAGCGCGCGGCGGGGCGGCGATAGGTTAGGTAAGGTTTTCAGTAAACAGGACAAGTGCTTCCTGAAGCGGCTCTTAATTATACGATGACCCGCAGCTGGAGCTTAGCGGTCTACCCCTTTAAAATTATGATTATGATAATAATAATTTGTGACTTAGTGGTCGAGATAGTGCAGGTAGTGGAAGTAGCAGTGGAACAGGTATACAGGTAGTGGAAGTAGCAGTGGAACAGGCAGTGCAGGTAGTGGAAGTAGCAGTGGAACAGGTATGCAGGTAGTGGAAGTAGCAGTGGAACAGGCAGTGCAGGTAGTGGAAGTAGCAGTGGAACAGGTATGCAGGTAGTGGAAGTAGCAGTGGAACAGGCAGTGCAGGTAGTGGAAGTAGCAGTGGAACAGGTATGCAGGTAGTGGAAGTAGCAGTGGAACAGGCAGTGCAGGTAGTGGAAGTAGCAGTGGAACAGGTATGCAGGTAGTGGAAGTAGCAGTGGAACAGGCAGTGCAGGTAGTGGAAGTAGCAGTGGAAACAGGTATGCAGGTAGTGGAAGTAGCAGTGGAACAGGTATGCAGGTAGTGGAAGTAGCAGTGGAACAGGTAGTTCAGGTAGTGGAAGTAGCAGCAGAACAGGCAGTGCAGGTAGTGGAAAGTAACAGTGGAACAGGTATGCAGGTAGTGGAAGTAGCAGTGGAACAGGTAGTGCAGGTAGTGGAAGTAGCAGTGGAACAGGTAGTGCAGGTAGTGGAAGTAGCAGTGGAACAGGTATGCAGGTAGTGGAAAGAGCAGTGGAACAGGTAGTGCAGGTAGTGGAAGTAACAGTGGAACAGGTAGTGCAGGTAGTGGAAGTAGCAGTGGAACAGGTAGTGCAGGTAGTGGAAGTAGCAGTGGAACAGGTATGCAGGTAGTGGAAAGAGCAGTGGAACAGGTATGCAGGTAGTGGAAGTAACAGTGGAACAGGTAGTGCAGGTAGTGGAAGTAGCAGTGGAACAGGTATGCAGGTAGTGGAAGTAACAGTGGAACAGGTAGTGCAGGTAGTGGAAGTAGCAGTGGAACAGGTATGCAGGTAGTGGAAGTAGCAGTGGAACAGGTATGCAGGTAGTGGAAGTAGCAGTGGAACAGGTATGCAGGTAGTGGAAGTAGCAGTGGAACAGGTATGCAGGTAGTGGAAGTAGCAGTGGAACAGGTATGCAGGTAGTGGAAGTAGCAGTGGAACAGGTATGCAGGTAGTGGAAGTAGCAGTGGAACAGGTATGCAGGTAGTGGAAGTAGCAGTGGAACAGGTATGCAGGTAGTGGAAGTAGTATCGTGCCTATTTATTTTTACATGACTGCTAAACTTTCACTTTATATCTGAGAAATGTTAAGAACATTACTCACTGACCTTGCTAACATTCATCTCCTCTTTGCCTTAAGAACACGACCCGTTCTCTTACCTTCTGATACCCGTTTTAAGCTGTAACTTCCACTGAATCATTAACCATACATCATGGCAAATTTAGATGAAAGGGGAAAAAGCTCCATCATTTATGCAGAGTAATACTGGGTTCTTAGGCAAGCACCTGCTGGAAACAGACCAAGATTAATTTTGAGTATAATATAAAACTGACTGTTTAATACGTATTATTATTATTGTTAATATTCCTGTTCTCATTATTATTATAGTCTTGGGAAAGCACTAAACCCATAGGGTTCACACCTGGGAATTAGGAAGTAATCTGATTTGACTCAAGGTAGGGTAACTTCAATTCCTTGGATCAAGAGTCTTTCACCATTACCAAGACATTCCCTTACCCCTCGTCATTTGCTACAATGACATTAATAAGTCATCGTAAAATATTGTCCTGGGATTATTAACTCAGAGGGTTATTAACTCAGGTTCACCGAATAAACCCATCATTAGTTCGTTGAATAACACAAGAGTAGAAATAAGTCATTAAGGCCTTTTTTTTTGTGCTCTCCTGGGTAATTTACACAGGTACACACAAGGTCTGTGGCTCGATCCCCAGTACGGGTGGAAACATTAGGATGTGTTTCCTTAAGACACCTGCTGTCCATGTTCATCTAGCAGTAGGTAGGTACCTGGGTGTTAGTGGACTGGTGTGGGTCGCATCCTGGGGACAAAACTGACTTAATTTGCCCGAAATACACTGCATAACAAGGGGCTTTCTATATAGTAGTATGTCACTGGTGTCAGGTATGGTCTGTATACCTTGTACATGTACTGGTAGAAATAAAAATGATTATTATTATTATTATTATTATTAAAATAAATACAGTTATCATACATAGTGTAAATTACCCTACAGGATAACAAAGAAAAAAAGTCAAAGTGGTTTATTTCCACGTAAGACAACTGTAATCTTTTAAATATTGTATATGAACCCGAATAAACTTATTTATTAATGAAGGACAATTGCATTAGGCCTACTGGCCCATGCTAAGCAGGTCTAACCCACACCCACTCAAGTACCTGTTTAATAACAAATAAAAAAGGCACAAAACGTGACTGGAACGATACACAAGTAACCCGCACATAGAAGAGAAGAGCTTACCACGACGTTTCGGTCTGACTCAGACCATTTACAAAGTCACACTGTGTGACTTTGTAAAAGTACCTGTTGCACCAACAATGGAATAATGCCCCTCAGCGAAGTTCAGCAATAAAATATAGTTTGAATTTTACAATACTGAGAATTATGAGTACTATTACAGTGTAAGAAGCATAACCAGCCCTAATGATACCCACCTAACTTAACCTGATCTAACCTAACTTAACCTAACCTGATCTAACCTAACTTAACCTAACCTGATCTAACCTAACCTGATCTAACCTAACTTAACCTAACCTGATCTAACCTAACTTAACCTAACCTGATCTAACTAACTTAACCTAACCTGATCTAACTACTTACCTAACTAACCTAACTTAACCTAACCTAATCTTAACCATCTAACTAACTAATCTAATAACTAATCTAACTAACCTAACCTAACTAACTAACTTAACTAATCCAACTTAACCAATCTAACCTAAGCTAATCTAGTCTAACTTAACCTAATCTAACTTTACCTAATCTAACTTAACCTAATCTAACTTAACATAATCTAACTTAACCTCATCTAACCTAACCTAGTCTAGCCTAACTTAACCTAATTCAACTTAACATAATCTAACTTAACCTAATCTAACCTAACCTAATCTAGCCTAACTTAACCTAATCTAACTTGCAATAATCTAACTTAACATAATCTAACTTAACCTAATCTAACCTAACCTAATCTAGCCTAACTTAACATAATCTAACTTAACATAATCTAACTTAACCTAACCTAACCTAATCTAGCCTAACTTAACCTAATCTAACTTAACCTAATCTAACTTAACCTAATCTAACTTAACCTCATCTAACCTAACCTAATCTAACCTAACTTAACCTGATCTAACCTAATCTAACCTGACTTACCTAATCTAGATAAATTAGACACATGTGCAACATTGGGTATATTTATTATGGAAACATTTTGCCACACAGTGGCTTCATCAGTCCAATACAAAGAAGAACGAAGATCAGAATCAGTATGAGGTAATCAGTCCCTCAGACTGGAGCTGATGTAATAAGTCTATCAATCTTGATAAGAATACAGCATATGTGCGAAGGCACGTATGTACTGCAGGTAGGTTCTCCGAACCATTTACCTACATAACCTTAACCTAATCTAGAATTTGTATTGATAAAGCCACTGGATGGCAAAATGTCTACAAATAAAGATACCCAGATGTCGCACGTGTCTAATTCTTTACCTTGTCGGTATTCTACACCATACATGTACTAATTGTACTTAAGCTAAGCTAAGCTAAGCTAGCCTAACCTAAATTATTTTAATCTATCTTAACTGAATTTAAGCTAACTTAACCTATCCTAACTTAAGCTAACCTCATCTAACCGAAATTATTCTAACCTAACTGAATTTAAGCTAACTTAACCTAACTTGAACTAAGCTAAGCAAAGCTAACCTAACTGAATTTAATCTAACTTAACCTAACTTAAGCTAAGCTAACCTAATTAAATTTAAGCTAACTTAACCTAACTTAAGCTAAGCTAAGCTAACATAACTAAATTTAAGCTAACTTAACCTAACTTAAGCTAAGCTAACCTAACTAAATTTAAGCTAACTTAACCTAACTTAAGCTAAGCTAAGCTAACATAACTAAATCTAAGCTAATTTAACTACTAACTTAAGCTAAGCTAACCTAACTAAATTTAAGCTAACTTAGCCTAACTTAAGCTAAGCTAAGCTAACCTAACTAAATTTAAGCTAACTTAACCTAACTTAAGCTAAGCTAAGCTAGCCTAACTAAATTTAAGCTAACTTAACCAAACTTAAGCTAAGCTAACCTAACTAAATTTAAGCTAACTTAACCTAACTTAAGCTAAGCTAAGCTAGCCTAAGCTAAATCACCCTAACCTAACCTTACTCCTACATCCGTGTTTGGCTACATTCCTGCGACCGTCGAAGCTATAATACTATGTGCTGACTGGCTCTGACAGCTGCTCGTATCGAAAACTTGTTATTTTTCAGTATCTCCCAAAATAAGAATTTTCGCAAGAAATAAGAGCGACGTAGACCGCTTGTATGCATCGTATTATTATATTTGTGGGGAGCGCTAAACCCATAGGGGTATTATAATGGGGAGCGCTAAACCCGACCCATAGGGGTAATGCAATGGCCTGGAGGAATGGAAGGCAAGTAGGTTCAATCTAAGGGTAGTACATGTCCACACTTCCCTGGATCAAGAGCACTTTTATGACCCCTTAAGGGGTCAGTATCTTATATGTCAAAATATTTACTTATATGGTCAAAATACTGGTATATAAAAGTCAAAAAGGTTACTGGACAAAACTTACCATTTAAATACACAATCGTAGCAAAGAAGAGACATTTATAATATATTTAAAAACTTTATTTAATAAATAATAATAATAGTGGTGAAAGTGTGTATTGTTGTTGTTGGATTATAGGGCCAATAAACCGTAGTTTATAGGGCTAGTAAACCGTAATTTATAGGGCCACTAAACCGTATACTGTAAAGTCCGTCTTATTTGGACCTTTTTTCAATTCTGGGTAATTTACACATAAGTTACTATGGTAAATAACCACAGAGGGAGTTGAATCAATGATCAACGATCTTCTAAATATATCACAATAAATTACACAACTTTTGTCACCTTCCATCTTAATATTGTTTCTCTTAACACTACTGGTAATAATATTTATATCTACCAGTACATGATGCAACTTAAACAGACCATAGTTCACACCAATGACATATTATATAGATTTTTTAGATTTTGCCACCGAAGTAGCTAGTTTATTGTGCACCCCATATCCATCCTGTGGACGGTAGCACAAGAGCATATGGATACACAAAAGGCCTAGGAACTAGGCCCCAAAGGGTTAACAGGTGTACATATGGATTTATATCTACATATCTATAGTTCACTTATCTATTAAAGCAAATTTAGGAAATTTGCTTAGTATATCTGGTATCTTATTTTCATTAATAAGATATCTTAACATGTCACATAGGTTATTATACTGTCTGTCTCTGTATTCCTCAATAAGTGGACAATTAAGCACATAGTGTTCAAGAGAGTGACCATATGCCTGATCACATAATTTACATTTAGTTTGATCATCATGTGTGTGTCTCCCAAACTGCCAGAAGTAAATGTAACCAAGCCTAAGCCTGGCAACTACAACATCAGTCAGTACTTGTAACCAAGCCTAAGTCTGGCCACTACAACACCAGTCAGTACTTGTAAAAAAGCCTAAGTCTGGCCACTACAACATCAGTCAGTACTTGTAACCAAGCCTAAACCTGGCCACTACAACATCAGTCAGTACTTGTAACCAAGCCTAAGCCTGGCCACTACAACATCTGTCAGTACTTGTAACCAAGCCTAAGTCTGGCCACTACAACATCAGTCAGTACAGTGTGTCTTGTAAGACTGTAGTGTGTCTTGTAAGACTGTAGTGTGTCTTGTAAGACTGTAGTGTGTCTTGAAAGACTGTAGTGTGTCTTGTAAGACTGTAGTGTGTCTTGTAAGACTGTAGTGTGTCTTGTAAGACTACAGAGTGTCTTGTAAGACTGTAGTGTGTCTTGTAAGACTGTAGTGAGTCTTGTAAGACAGTAGTGTGTCTTGTAAGACTGTAGTGTGTCTTGTAAGACTGTAGTGAGTCTTGTAAGACCGTAGTGTGTCTTGTAAGACTGTAGTGTGTCTTGTAAGACTGTAGTGTGTCTTGTAAGACTGTAGTGTGTCTTGTAAGACTGTAGTGTGTCTTGTAAGACTGTAGTGTGTCTTGTAAGACTACAGTGTGTCTTGTAAGACTGTAGTGTCTCTTGTAAGACTAGTCTGTGTCTTGTAAAACTGAAGTGTGCCTTGTAAGACTGTAGTGAGTCTTGTAAGACTGTAGTGTGTCTTGCAAGACTGTAGTGTGTCTTGTAAGACTGTAGTGTGTCCTGTAAGACTGTAGTGTGTCTTGTAAGACTACAGTTTGTCTTGTAAGACTGTAGTGTGTCTTGAAAGACTGTAGTGTGTCTTATAAGACTGTAGTGTGTCTTGTAAGACTGTAGTGTGTCTTGTAAGACTGTAGTGTGTCTTGTAAGACTGTAGTGTGTCTTGTAAGACTGTAATGCGTCTTGCAAGACTACAGTGCGTCTTGTAAGACTGAAGTGTGTCTTGTAAGACTGTAGTGTGTCTTGTAAGACTACAGTGTGTCTTGTAAGACTGTAGTATGTCTTGTAAGACTGTAGTGTGTCTTGTCAGACTGTAGTGTGTCTTGAACTACAGTGTGTCTTGAAAGACTGTAGTGTGTCTTGTAAGACTGTAGTTTGTCTTGTAAGACTGTAGTTTGTCTTGTAAGACTCTAGTGTGTCTTCTAAGACTGTAGTATGTCGTGTAAGACTATAGTGTGTCTTCTAAGACTGTAGTGTGTCTTGTAAGACTGTAGTGTGTCTTGTAAGACTGTAGTGTGTCTTGTAAGACTGTAGTATGTCTTGTAGGACTGTAGTGTGTCTTGTAAGACTGTAGTGTGTCTTGTAAGACTGTAGTGTGTCTTGTAAGACTGTAGTGTGTCTTGTAAGACTGTAGTGTGTCTTGTAAGACTACAGTGTGTCTTGTAAGACAGTAGTGTGTCTTGTAAGACTAGACTTTGTCTTGTAAAACTGTAGTGTTTCTTGTAAGACTGTAGTGTGTCTTGTAAGACTGCAGTGTGTCTTGTAAAACTAGACTGTCTTGTAAAACTGTAGTGTGTCTTGTAAGACTGTAGTGAGTCTTGTAAGACTGTAGTGTGTCTTTTAAGACTGCAGTGTGTCTTGAATGACTGTAGTGTGTCTTGCAAGACTGCACTGTGTCTTTGTTAGACTGTAGTGTGTCTTGTAAGACTTTAGTGTGTCTTCTAAGACTGTAGTGTGTCTTGTAAGACTCTAGTGTGTCTTGTAAGACTGTAGTGTGTCTTGTAAGACTGTAGTGTGTCTTGTATGACTACAGTTTGTCTTGGAAGACTACAGTGCGTCTTGTAAGACTGTAGTGTGTCTTGTAAGACTGTAGTGTGTCTTGTAAGACTGTAGTGTGTCTTGTAAGACACTAGTGTGTCTTATAAGACTCTAGTGTCTCTTGTAAGACTGTAGTGTGTCTTGTAAGACTGTAGTGTGTCTTGCAAGACTGAGAGTGTGTCTTACAAGACTGTAGTGTGTCTTGTAAGACTGTAGTGTGTCTTGTAAGACTACAGTGTGTCTTGTAAGACAGTAGTGTGTCTTGTAAGACTAGACTGTGTCTTGTAAAACTGTAGTGTGTCTTGTAAGACTGCAGTGTGTCTTGTAAAACTAGACTGTGTCTTGTAAAACTGTAGTGTGTCTTGTAAGACTGTAGTGTGTCTTGTAAGACTGTAGTGAGTCTTGTAAGACTGTAGTGAGTCTTGTAAGACTGTAGTGTGTCTTGTAAGACTGCAGTGTGTCTTGTAAAACTAGACTGTGTCTTGTAAAACTGTAGTGTGTCTTGTAAGACTGTAGTGTGTCTTGTAAGACTGTAGTGTGTCTTGTAAGACTGTAGTGTGTCTTGTAAGACTGTAGTGTGTCTTGTTAAAACTGTAGTGTGTCTTGTAAGACTGTAGTGAGCTTGTAGACTGTAGTGTGTTGTAAAACTGCAGTGTGTCTTGTGACTGTAGGTGTCTTGCA